CTTCCTCCTGGATTACAGGTGCAATGAAGAGCAGAGAAACAAGATGGCTTCTGCTCTCAACTGACATTAAAGACAAACTGTTGCAAAGAACATCATCTATAAAAAATATATTTATGTTTATAATGCAAAAAATCCCTCACAGTTAATGTTGCCATTTCGCTTTTCCCCAGTATAATGAAAGGAAGGGTGAATACCTCTTACCTGGCTGAACATCCAGCTCCACTGATGTTTTCTCTCAAGGCTGTTCATCCTTGAAGAGGCTGCAGAGCAATTCCTAGTTCTTCTGGATGCACAGCCTGCACAGCGCTGTCTTCTGTATCAGAAGTTGTTCTGTGGTGTGAGGAGCATCTTCAGAGTTGTCACATGAGAAGCTGTTTTGCAGGACTGCGCATATATATATATATATATATAAGGCTTTGGTGAGCACCAAGCCAGGACCAGAGTTGCTGATTTTGCAGTGATCATAACTAGCAGATCTTTAGAGTGCTCATTGCCTGGGAAAACTGTCCTCTTGATGGTCATCTCCACAGCTTCTGCATGTTTGCACACCAGTATAAACTATGCTTTTCCAGAAAATTTTGCTGTGGTTACATCTGAGCTTAATTAACATGCTCCACTGCCCACCTAATGAAACCCTTTGAGCAGTCTCTTCCAAGAGTTTTTGAGTGGAGTCACAAAGGAAGTGGAGTACAGCAGAAACACAGAAAGAAGGACAAAACCCCCATGTGAACATAAGCTAGCGAATATGTCATCATATGGGGTAGGAGAAAGGAGGAGAGAGAAGTTAAGAGCACACATGCCTAGGGACCTGCAGGATGATATAACAGCACTATCAAAATCCAAGCCTAACTACCCAGACATTAAATGCATCCTACCTGCAGAGTAAATACATCAAAGCCTGAAACAAAGTGAAAGGGCTTTGTCACACATCCCAACCAGGGAAGCAAACCCTATTAAAGCACATAGGACATAAGGCTACTCTGAGAAGACTGCAACTGCGGCTGGGCTGATAACAAGACAAGAAACAAGGATGAGCCCAAAGGCAGGCACACTGATACACCTCCATGCACTCTCTGCAACTCACTAAGCTGTTTAGTTCATAGTTGAGCCTATCACCCCCTTAACATCCTTCTTTTCCCCACAGCTCATAGATATTTACCCTGTCTGTATTTCACAGAAATTTTTAATATAGTCCAGTATTTTTGTTAGATATGCAATATGTTAATAAACCATCAAAATCAAACTATACCTATTAAAACACAATAAGAAATTAATTTTGTGAAGACCTGATGTTGCTTTAACTTTTTACAGCTAATTTCTCATCAATTCAGACAAATTTTGGATAACGAGTACATGACACATCCACATAAATCTGAGGATTTGCTGTCAGTGAGCGTGTAACAGACCAGCTCTAGGCAAAGGAGGACGCACATAAAATATACATCAGGTGCACATGTGCGGAAACACAATTAAAAGCCACACATTCCTGGTTTTGCAAATAAGAACAACAGCTCCCTTAGAGTTAAAAACACATTTCCACTTCAGATAATGGGCATTTTGCCACTGACTTTGAGAGAACAAGGACCCTACTCCAGAGTTTTATCAAGATCTTATTGAAGTCAGTGGAAAAGTCTCACAAGAAAACAGTGGACTGCCACATCATTTTGCAGAGCTGCACTGTTCTTCATAATATTAGCAACTCTTGAAATGAATGTTTTGGCAAAGGTTGCTGATAACTAGCTCTGCTGCTTTTAGTGCTGATGCAGTTACAGTTTCTCTTTTATTGCGCTTTTCAGTATGATTTTACACCAGACACTCTGTGTATGTGTGTGTGTGCGCATGTGTGTACGTGCATGAGATAGATGGCGACCCTTTTTTAAGCATGGCACATGAAAAGATGCTATCTAAAATAAGACTTGAACAAAACTATTTCAGACACCAGTGCAAAAAGATACTTGTTTACCTTAACCTCAGTGTGACTTCTCATGCAATTAATCATTCATATGGAATATGTGACACAGAGATAATATGCTACACACTGCCTTTATAAATAAGGGTTTATGTCAGACATAAGGACCTTCACAGCTGCCAAGCAGCAAATGCCACACAAGCCATGTGGACTGCACAGCCATAGAGCTGATTAACATAAATATCTTTTCTGAGAAGAAGGAAAAGTAAATGAGGAATTAAGCCCTGCTAGTCCATCCTTCCCCTACCTGAACACTTACAACTTGGCAAACGGTCAACCACAAAATTAAATGAAACAATGATACTGTCTTCATTGTCAAAAGCACTGAGGAAAATAAACACCAACACCACCAGTGCAGCACAGAAAATTAAATATCCTCACCTAGCTTTCCACCATTCCAAGAGGACAGAACCCAAATGAAGTCATATACCACTTACTTTCCTGAACTACATATCTGCATCAACAAGATGCAAACTAGAAGTGATGGCAATGATATGCTTCAACTTGCTGACTTCTCCACAGTTGACAAACAAAACCAGACAAGGGCAATAGCATGATGTCAAGAGTGAGCTCAGTGAAATGCAAAGAGAGAACAATTTATTCGTTCATTGCAATCCTGTCTGCAAAAGCAGAATGCATGCATCGTTCTGTGAGTTCCTTTTTTTTTCCCCAATGTCATCAATAGCTTGCCATGCTTGTCATGAGGCTTGAATGAGGCACCTAGACACACCCCTGAGCAAGGGAGATGGTGTATAGCTGAATATGTTCCAGTGCACAACCCAGAAACCAAGAAGCTTCTAAATCTTTTGACAGCAAAGGCAGTATACACCTGGTCAAGCCATAGTTTGAGAACTAAAAAAGCAGATAGTCTACAACCCATCTGCAGCGCACACATGGGAATCTGTGCACATCACTCCTAACACGTATCCATAACAGGACAGTCTGGCTGACAGAGGTAAATGGGACACAGGGAATGGATAGGAGAGACCATGACCATGATGTACAATCATCACAGTGCAAGAAAAAGCACTTTTCCTTCAGTTGTTCTCTCTCACCCTACTTTGATAACATATTACTGAAATGTCCCTTTTCCAGCCCTAAAACCTATCCTTTCAGTGCCTGTCATGTTATCATGCTGATGGTATAATTAAGATTAGCAGTTCTGTACAAGAATTCTCTGCTGTGAGTGAAAAAGCTAGAAATGTGCAAAGTTAATCCTCTTCTAATTACTCCAGAAATCTGCATGCTAATTTGATATCAAAATAATTAGGATTGCAAAGTAATTAAACTGTGTAAACACCTACAAGAGGGAGCAAAATTTGCGCACTTGGAATGTGCTTTAACTGAAAGCATTTGAGTAGCCCCACCAAAGGACTGTACTGCTGATGTTCTGCCAGTACTAAAAACGTCAGTGTAGACAAAGTCTTTGTCCTTTCTAACCACAGAAGCACAGAAAAGTAGGGTTGGCAAGGACCTCATGACATCACTTAGCCTACCTGCTGCAAGGCAGGACTGATACTACTTATGTCATTCCTGGCAGGCCAGTCTATTCTTAATGGCCTCAAGTGGTGGAGACTGCACAACCTACCAAAGCAGAGACCTCTTCCTAGTATCTGACATGATTCCTCCCTGCTGCACTTTGAATCCGTTATTCTTTACCCTTCGGCATACACAGCAGTTTATTTCTCATATGCCATTATTCATATCTAATTATAAGCTATTATCACATCCCTCTGCCCCTGACTTTTCTTCTGCAGGCCAAACAATCCCACTCTTTCTTCAGAACTGATGTGCTCTAGATCAGTGATCATTTCCACTGCTTTTTCCTGAACTTCCTCCAACTGTTTATTCTTGAAGTGCAGTGCCCAAACCCGACACTGTGTTCCAGCTGAAATGCTTCCAACACCAGGACGTCTTGCATGTTCTCCTGTTTAGTTACCCCAGTAAAACGTTAGTATTTTTAAAACAGCTTGACATTAGTGACTAACGTTCAGACCATGATTAGCAATAAGCTCCATATAGTTTTTCAAAGAACTACCAAAACTGCAAAACCATTTTATAGTTACAAAGATGTTCCTGCCTAACTATACTTCTCTGCACTTGGCTCAGTGACAATCCATCCTTCTTTTACTAGAACATTCTTCAACATGTCAGCCTAATTCTGAATTCTAGGCTTGTCTCTCAATGTTTTAGAAGCCCTTCCCATCCTCATGTCATCTAAAAATTCAACACTTGTACTCTATTCCACCACTGAGGTCATTAATGACAATAATGATGAAAACCAGACCAACCCTTCCCACACTTCAATATATCTTTCCATTAGAATGATGGACCATTGATAACTACTATTTGGTATGGCAATCCAACCAGTTTTGCATAGACTCCATAGTGGTTTCACTGAAGACATGTTTCCCTTGTTTGTTTATGAAACTGTCATACACATTAATGTCAAAACCATTACTGGAAGTCAAACTGTTCGGCCTCTGTTGTGCCTTCCCTAGCTACAAGACTTGCTATTCAGTTGTAGAAAGACATTTTCAAGTTTTTAAAAGTCATGTTGGCTGTTACTGAACTCCTTGGTCTCCTTCAGGTGCTTACATATAATTTGTTTGTTCCAGTTTTTCAGAACAAAGTAATTTGCCTGTAATTCTCTTTTACCTCTTTATAGACATTAGGCTTTTTCTTTCCCACTCTTCCAGCACTTGATCTGTCTTCCCTGAGTTCTCAGAAGTAACTACAAATGCTTCTGAGATTGCTTTAGCCAATTCCTTAAGTAACCTAGAATAAAGTTAATCAGGCACAGCTGATTTGAAAGTATTAAATATGTCTGAATACATTCTAACTTATTCTTGCCCTTTTTTAGCTTGTGATTTTACCCTCCATCATAATAACTTAAGTGTGTGTGAGGGTGCATCTAGTATGACTCAAAGGCATCAGTGAGAGTACTTCTGATCCCTGTGTTAAAATTTAATATAATTTCTTGTCCTCAGGTCAAGCTATAGATTCCTTTAAATCATAAAGTACCTCATACCTTCGTTCATTGTCATCAAGATGAGCAAAGAGCACGTTCTTGGAGATGGCCTTTGCCAGAGCAGTCATAGTTTTATAGTCCTTTGGAATAACCTGTATAGAAAAGAACAAAGGGTAATTACATGCCTGGTTGTATTTCTTCATAGATCTTGAAATCTATAGAAAATTCCACTATTTAAGATAATGGATGCAATTTGATTTCAAACACTGAGACAGGTTTAGGCTATAATATAAAGCCACTAGGAAAGTAATAAATTAGTTTTGATAATGTGAGGATAAGAATTTATGTTCTCAATATGACAACCAGAAAAGAAATATAAGATCTGGGATGAGTGAGGAGAAGGATAACCATAAAATACTATAATTAGCAGGTACTGGCAGCTGTGTAGTCTCCTTTCAAATCTTTTGGACTGAGGAAAACATATTTCATATTCTTCTTCCCCCACAAACAATAACAGAAGCAACCTACTTTTCAAACTAGAGAATGAGCAACATTTCTTTAGGTAAAAGGTAAAAATGTGTTGATTACATCATACTTTTCAGTACTGCTCGTGGTATAAGGAGCCAAGCTCCTGAGAGGCCCACCTGGGTCAAAATCCTTCTCGTTTGCCATGAAACAAAGGCACAGGACTTGCATTTGAGAATGAAGAGGCATTTTTATTTGTTAATTGGAGAGGTAGCAAAAGTCCTGTTGCACATGAATTTGTTCAAAATAGTTGTTGAAATTCAGGAGTATGTTTTCATACTGGGTGAAGTTTTTTATAAGACTTTTGCAAGTTAGACCTTCCCTTTTGGTAAGCATTTTGGTAAGATACTAGTAAAGGCACTGTATCTCTGTATTTGCCAAGCATCTTTTTCTGCCGGTCAAAGACTCTGTGATTACGAGAGACACAAAAAATCTGTAACAAGGTTATGACTTGTAAAATATGTTCTTTGACTTTAGTAATGTGATTTTCCTTAATAGTTTCATTATAACAAGGCAGAATCAAGCCTAGCAAAAGTTTTATGTGTTAAATAAACCTTACTCCAATCTGAAAATCAACATCTGTTTGCCTGGTTTAATTATTGTACAAAAAAGGTCTGATAATGGGCATTTATCTTTCACATTTTCTTATGACTGAAATAGTATATCTGTCTTATTTAAGTTACTATGTATGCTGATGTGTAGGTAGTTTCCTTTCCTCATCCTGGAAAGGCAAGATGCTACCCATCAAACCAGAAGAAGGATGTCTCAAATGGGAAAACTGATATAGAACCAGTTCTCACAAAGAATTGATCTAGATTTATTTCAAGGGAAAATACTGCACTGTGAAGACCTAAAGCTAAACTCTGGCTTCAAACATCACTTACTTTGACTGCTATAGTCATTAGACTGTTCAAATTAAGTCTAGAGAAGCGTGTATGTATAAACTGCATATTTGTATCATAATCTAATTTATCTAAAAGTTTAAATTCCTCAATGCTAAATAAAATAAGCATTTGGCCAGTATCTTATTCTTGGTTTTTACCCTATCAAACAAACCCTGGATTGAATTGCAGTCCTGAACCCTTGCTCTATTAAGAATACCCTAGTTGTTCAGCTTACTGCTGATGAGCCAAAAGAGCAGATAATGAAATCACTAAGACATTCAACTCCAACCTTTCTGGCTGAATATGGAATAGCATAGACTTGCATTTCTCAGTCTAAATCTGCAGCAATGAAAGCCACAAGGCAGAGACCGAAGCGGGTCTGTTGGGGCAGGGACACAGGAAACACAGGAGAGATTCTTTAGGTGTCACAGTAACCAGGCATCTGACCAAAATCAAATGTTAGGAAGAATCACTTGAACATTTCTTACATCAGTCTTCCAAGTAATCACTGAATGTTCTCTTCAAGCCGATAACCCTCTTTACAGCAAGATTCCTATTCTGTTAGTTGTTAACTATATATCAGATGTGTTGACAAATAATTGTTTTCTCTAGTTTCAGGAATGAAGCAATAAAATAACCCTCCACAGAGATCTTCCTTTGTGCTCCTCAGAATGGAGCCATGCCATGTGCTTGCTCAAATCACAAAGCTAAATCTCCTTTGATTTTCTTTCCAGTGACACAACTCATTGCACTGCCTTTAGCACTACTCATGCCACAGCTCACCCCTTCAAGACATCCTTTAAATTGGCTTATGACACAGATGTGTTTCTATCCAACACCTGAATTCAATCCAGCAGTTCTTCCTGGCTACTATCTAAAATTCCATCTGTTTGCAATAGTCTAACACAACCCTTGCCTTGCTTTTTACACTTTTAAATTAGTTTCATAATTTGTCCTTTCAGTGTCTCCCTTCATTTCTGTATTCTACAAATCTCTGTCACAAACACACATCCATGGGATTCACCATGGGATTCATCTGCTGATGGCAGAAAACAAAGACACAAACCCTCCCAGTGCTAGTTCTATATTCCTTGCAGCATCTGTAGCCTGACACAAAACCATCCCCTACATTATTATTATTTAAGCTCAGTCAGTTCCTAGGAAATTAACATCATAACAGCCCTAGTCACAGAACACACAGAATATGATCTGTATTTCTTCTTCTGGTTCTTGCCTACCCATGCTACTGTCAAGGCTTATTGGCATCACTGTTGAAAAAGGAAGAAAACAAAGTTAACTTCAGGTTCCATTATAAACATAAAAGAATTACTCAAGGGTGGGGGAAGGAATATTTCCTTTGATTTACAGAAGAGTCACATGGAGCCCATATTAAGCAGAGACAAATGTGATCTCTTCATGGAAGTTTTTAAGGGGGATATTGCAAGCTGCACAGAAAGAAAAGTGTTTGAAAGTGGCTTTTAAAATATCACGCAAGTTTTTTAACAGTGCAGTGCATTAATAGCTTGACCACAGTGCTGTTAAAATTTACTGTATACTTGCAAGCATTATTTAACCGCCACAAGAATACTCCTCCATACTTGTTTTTAGGATGAAAGGCTCTCCTAATTTCTTGTTTCTTGGGACAGAAATCCCCAGAGCAGCCAGTGAACTTGTATCATAAGCAGATGACAAAAGCACATCTGACTGCAAAGGCAAAAAGTATTCTGCCAAAAAACACTGACTGACAAAATGTATTCCCATAAAGAAAAAGCTCTTTGGGTTAAAGCTACTCCAGGCGTGCACAAAAGCACATTAGTAGCATCTGTCAACCTTATGAAATGCATTTTTAGCCTAGCTTCCTAAACAAACATGACATACGCTATTGTAATGTCTGTCTTTTAATAACCTTTGAAGCTTTGGCCAGTTTCAAAAAAAATTTGCAGAGTTATTAAGAGATATCAAGGATATAACATAGCTAGATATTTTTGTGAAAAAGGCAGTTAAAAAAAGAGAAGCCCAAATTAGTGCTCCTACTGAAGAAATTACCTAATTTGGGACTGGCATTTCTTCAAAGACAACGGTCCCATAAAATTCCCCAAGTATGGTCAACAGACTTCCGAAAACCCATGGGTTAGGTGGTACCCAATCAACATGGGAACAACGTGCCTGAATGGTCTAGGGAACCTAAATGACCTAGGTTAGAAGAAAACTTGAGCTAGAAGTGACTTTTTGGAAAGAAAAGGCAGGAAATGCAGCAATAGAAAAGGCTGCTTTCCAAAACTGTGAGGTTTTGACAAAACTCAGAAGCTGCCGGAATCTGTGAATATCAGGAAAATGGTTGAGAATTACCAACCCTGTCATAGGGGGAAGCAGATTAGCAGCACATCTCAAAAAAGAAAGAATAGAGAATGCTGAAGTCACATTGATGGGGAAAGTACTTAGTCGAGGAGGCAGCAAAAGAACTTGAATGTGAAGAAGATGGTCAAGCCATGCACATGCTGGCATGAAGACACCATCCTACAGGCTGACCCATGAGTCCAAATTATGAGCAAAATGTGAGTCACTTGATTGTCCTATACATCTCAGAATCAGGTAGACTGTTACACATTACCTTTCTGACATAAGAAACAGCATCTTCCTCAGTGTACACTTCTGCACTGACCCCCCCTCTCCTGCGTCGGGCTTTTACCACTGGGTTGGGAGGAGGAGGGGAAATCTCATCATCATGAGAATCAGACTGGGAACTGGATTTCTGCCGAGCCAGTATTTGTTTGCATTCTTCCTGCAAGGCAAAAAGAGACAATGAAACATCTCTTACCCATGTAGCTAACTTGCTGGATATATTCAATTCACTCTTCTTTTACAACTGTCAGCAACCCCTTCACTTCTACATATGGATGACTGTCAATTTACACGTGTACTGCTGAAAGAAAATTCAAAATTTAATGTGAGCAGCACGAAGGACTGACACTAACTACAACGTGTGTACAGGTATCATCACTCCAATGCTTGACCTGTTCAACTCTTTCTTACATATAATGGAAACTAATGTATTATAAACTGCAGGCATATGTTTGCAGCTACTCCTGGCTGAGAAAGCAAAAGAACAAGCCTCTTTTGCTTACTCTCCAACATCACAGCTGTTATTTTCTCAGTTGGCTTGTACATATCTTTGTCTCTTGTACAGAGAACATATCAGAAGTCACAAATCAATATATTAAATAGGTTTCTTCATCTTGCTCTGTTTTGCAGGCTTACCATCATCAGAAAGAACAAAGATGCTCCCTACCCCAGAATTTCTGCCATATAACAGATTTACAATCAATGGGACTACTTCCAAGCAAATAAGATCCAAGGTAGGCTCCAGAGAACTGTGAAAAATGATGGCTGGCCTTGCACCAGCTGGCCAATAGGAAGGTTATTCTCCAAATTTCACTCATGGAATGGAGAATAAAATACAAAGGGGAATCCCTGAAGAGATAGTAACAAGAGCAGGAAACAGTATAGAAACCCTTCAAGAAAGGAAGTTGCAAGACTTTGTCAATTCATATACTGAATTATTTGACTTCTAAAGAATGGAGACAAACAAGATTACCCATAATTATAGTATTTTTCCAGAGCCCCATCTCCTATTCTTTAGCTTCCTGGGATTCAAGGGAAAGCACACAGGAGTAAAATTCCCTTTGCATCATCCATGTCTATCAGCCAAAGGAACGGGGGCCTATCTGCTCATTCCCAGCCCACCTCCTCACCCCCTGGTACCACCTCAGCCTGGCATCCTGCTCACAACACACCACACTGCCTTTGCTACTTCTTCAGTTCCTTCTTAGCTGGTCATTCTAGTCTTTGCTGACCCTGCCTACGGCAGGGGAGAACTGGAGGTGGGATGGACCACGTGTCCTGTCCTCAGCTTATCTCATACAGGAAACCAAAGGGCAAGTGCAAGAGAGACATGAGCACTCTAAGGAGGCAACCCATCTTGTGCAGCAGTAGTTCAGTAATTTTATCTGATGTCATCTATTATATTGCCGTAGGCAAACAGTCTCAGGGTTATGTTGATCGACATAGACACAGCCAGCTATCATCCAACAACTCCCTGAAAAACTCCAGTGTTTTTGAGACAATTCAGATTAGCGGTGTTGCAGGCTATCCAAAAGAACACGCAGTAATGCTGAGGTCCCTGCGTACAGAATAAAACCAACGTTCCTTTGACAGGGATGCCAGAACCTGGCCTCTGTCTTACACAGTTAATTTCCAGTGAGACTTTCCAGTCAGAGCTAATACGTGGAGTCAGTGGAGGAGGGAGGATCTGGGAGCACCAGCGCTAGACATGTGGCAGATTACCAACATAGCCAGTTGGTCTTATTGACAGAGGAAATGAGTTATAGTTAACTCATCAGGTATGACACCAGAAAAGAGCGGTACAGAAAACTGGCACAAGTTCACAATTTTTAAGCTTGCAAGAAAAACAGATGATTAATATATGTTTTGCCATTGATGTTTACAAATGTCTGACAAATCCAGTCATGCCACTTGTCTTATTCCAGTTTCTTTCCTCACCGTCACTGACGTTGCCCCTTTCATTCATCTAAAGAGCCTCTGACACTAATCTTTGAGGTATTATTGCTACTTGAAATAAATAACTAAATAGTATTTCCCATGCTGCATAATTCAAAGTAACAAGTCACATTCTTGTTTTGATTAAGGGACTCCTGAAATACGTATGAGACAAGCACAGAGATAAAATGTAGAGGGCTGGCTAAAGATCTGAATTGTCAAGATCCTGACCTGCCTCAGAAAGTGCCAAGTTCTTTCCAAGATCAGTATTTTTTTTAAATTGGGATTACAAGACTGCAACTCCTGGGCCATAACACAGTTGAGCTAGGTGCTGTAACCAAAAAAACAGAAAAAAACCTGATTCGGATGTATTAAATCCTTACTGAAACTTTTTCATTTCCAATTCAAATTTCAAATAGCAGCACCGGATATGTAAAAAATGACTCAGCTAGATTTTCCTATCATATAAGAACTGCAAGTCCTATTTAAGCATTCTCACCAACTTCTTCCCTACTCCCGACTGTCTCTAGCTTCCTCAACTACAATTATGCACTTGTAGAAACACAAATATTTAAAATACAAATATGTGTGCTACATACTAGCTTTATATTTAATATCTAGTCATCAAAACCAAACCTATGACTGAAGAATTTCAAATACTATTACTGGCTCTTGCAGCTTATGTATCTCTTTGATAAGGTTAACATTCTCTGTTTATATTAAATGAACACAACCATATGCACCTTCTTCATAAGGTTAACTGAAAGGTAATGAAGACCTTTCTGGACAGCAAGCAGCTGAAAGTATACTAAAAAGTAACTACAACAAGAAGGCAGTCAGGTAACTATTTAATGGTATGCAGCACTTACACAGTTCTTTTTATACATAGCATATTTACTTATAGAGAAGAGTAGTAGTTTGCCCCATTTGAATATCAAATACACACTTCTTTTTCTGTACACATTGTATAAAAGGCACTTCCAAGGAATTAATAAATAATATCTTCTCAGCCCCAGCACAGATTTATACACGAAAGAAAGCTCAGTGAGATAAAATTAATATCACAAAGCATGCTCTTAAACCCAAATACCTTTTAAAGCCAAAAAGATATTAAAGGATTATAAAGTGAGTTACCATATGATTCATTTTAAAAGGAAGTCTCTTCACTACAAACTCCTTTTATATAAACAGCAGATAGTTGACTGGCTGGCTTTTCCATATGCCGCTATTTGTAGTCTAGGTAGGATTTCCATTACTGAACTAAAGAGTGCCTTTTGAAAATAAAAGCGTATGCTCTGTCCTGGGTTAAGCTTTCAAAAAGCCGTCTTCCATATATCCTGGGGTAAAATTGCATAAATACAGCCAATATTTTAAAGGAGGAATGTACTCTCTGAAGAACAGTTCTTCAAACACTGATCTTCAGACACAGCTTGATGTGAATGCTTGTGCAGAACTCACTTTCAAGTAAACACCTCACCATTTTTTGTCGTCATGACAACAAGCAATCTCACTCTCTATTTGGATGGCACAGATAATTCACAATCATATTGCCCAATTATGTCCACCTTAAAATGAGAAAACACATGGAGGACACAACTGCAAAACAGTGTAGTTGCCTTTGAGCAAGCCCCTGTGAGCATCTTGTTCTTCCCTTCATACCAGTATCTGCACTGGCTTCAGTGGAGATGCTCCTGACTTGTAGGACATATATTTGAGTGCCCTTGCTCGGCTTTCAGCTGCCAGCTGAGGAGGACACAAGTCTCACGCTGTCCTGTGTCACACCTACCAGCCCCACTGGACATCGCACATAATTTAGGGAGACTTAAATGGCAGTAGGGGACCATGTGTGCGCCGCTGACTTAAGCCTCCAGTGTCACTGCCACAGTCCAATACAATGATACATTAACACACCCTAAATCTACAAACCAACACTGTTGTGTGACAATGGCACCCTATTTCATATATAAATAATCTAATCCTACTTCTTTTCAAACCATGGTGTAAATGACCAAAACCCTAACTAACGTTGTGAACAGAAGTCTTTCTTGGGATTTCTCGAGGAGATGGATGGAGAAACTGGAATACCATTACTGACTTCAATGATAATAAACTGGAAAGAAAAGAAAATATACCATCATTGCCTCAAATTAAAGGAAAGAAGAACCAATAAATACCACCGCAGTGACCCATTTACCTTTTGAATGTTCACCTTTGGCTAAGACATTTGTGCTACAAGAGGCTGAGGTATAAAACACAGGAATTCAGCATGCTGTCCTCAGCATATGGGGTCATTGCCTTTCCTGATTAGTGTTTCCACAAGTTTTTAATGAGTTTAAACACTGCAAGTGAAGCAGCCACAATGCCAAGACAGTTTTTAGGTTCACCCTTCCTTTCAGACTGCTGCTGGAGAGCACCCGTGCTTCCTGACCCAGAAGCTTTCTTCTCTATTAGCTGGAGCATTTCCAAACAGAAATTCTCTTCCGTAGTTCCTCTCCCAGTCTCTCCTTTCAGGCTTTGTCACCACCTGGAAACTCAGATGTTTCTGCTGAAGGAAGGACAGCACCTAAGGAGGCTCCAAATCACTGTGCAGCTTTACAACAACATCCCAAGGAGACTTTTAAAAGCAAGTCAGCCGTCCGTTATCACTGCTCACTATCTCTGCTGTGCCTCCTACAATTTATTCATTGCATTCAAAAGCAACAACACACAGTACACTCTGAATGAAATATTTTTTTCTTTTTTTTTTTTCCTCAAGCGCACTCATAAAGTTTTCTGACTGATAGACCTGGAATCTGCTTTCTATTTATCCACAGAAAATGTGCAGAATAGTTCATGCGCATGTAACTAATCTCTCTTTGCACTGGAATTGACCCAGAGGAGATGCTCTCAATACAGGAAGGTTTCTAACACCACCCCATCACTCCTGGAGGCTGACGTGATGGTTTATAGCAACTAATAAAGGCCAAAGGCAAAGCACTCCACTTTGTTGGAAGCACAGGACTGACTGATGCCATCATTGAAAGCAGGAGAAATTTGGGAGGTCTTAACAGACTTTCCAGTCTTATTTTTGCTACGATGGACAATTCTACTATTGTTATGATCATTTAGCCCTGTAATTAGAGACTTTTCACCCAATCTCAACTATTGTTCCACTTCCTTCCCGACGCGAAATGCCACCTCTTCTTCTACAGCATCACTAAAAAATATCTTTAACGTCCACCTCTC